TTATAGGTATAGTATAATGGGCCCCAGAACCCTATTCTAACCATTAAGGCCTCCGCATTATCCGTACTTGGAGGTTCATGGGTAGTTTTCAGTGGGGTTATAAGTAGGGTAGCCATACTTACAGCCCATATTATTCGGGGACTTAGAACTACACTTTCCATGAACCTCCCAGTATACACTTAACCCTGACTCAGAACCCTGAAGAGTAAACCTTATACCGTCATGTCCCAATGAGGTGGCCAAGGGGAAGTCACCCCCTGAGCAGAGCATGAATGGCATCACGTTACTTGAAGACGAGAATTCTTGGGCTTAGGATTTTACGGCAGAGGGTCAAGATCGAAAGTTAAACCCTGAACCCTTTGAGAAAAGAACCCGGAAGCTGTGCAGCCCTTGTTTTTCTTTTTGGTGTTCTGAGGGTTTCAGGACTAAGGTCAAGGCCTGAAGAATCTCAAGCGCATGGCTGGGCTTAGAAGCAGTTGTCACGAGGGAGCGATACATTCAGCATGACATCGACTTCCACAGAAAGTTCAGGGCACTGGTTCAGTTTGGGTTTAGGGTTTGGGGTTTGGTTCAATACTGTCATCAAAACCCTAAACCCTACATCCCGACAGAGCAAGACGTCAGAAACAAAACAAACACAAGGAGACCAGGGGACTGTCTCGACTCTGGGGGGTAATCCGGCAGCAGATTTTCGGGTTTAGGTTTTACGGTTCAGGGTTTAGGGTTTAGGGTTTAGGGTTCATGGTCTAGGGTTTAGGGTTTAGGGTTGCTTGGAGCTGGAATGAGCGGAAACATGAAAGCGGGGATCGTCGACTGATTCATGACCGAGAAGCTTGACCCCGCAATCCTTAATTCGCCAAGCCCTAAACCCAAAAAGCCGTGAACCCACTGACGCTTTCCACAACTCGAATCCCAAGATCTCGGAAACTCTGCAAGCCGAGCGATGCAGAGTTTTCAGTACTCGTATCCCCAAAACACCGCATCAAGACATGCCTTCACCACTTTCCTGAGGAGTCCTATATTATTGACTCACCATAATAAACCCCATACATCCCGACACCTTATACCCCAAAGCTACTACATAGGCCCTAAACCACGAGAACCCTAGAGCCGACATCCTAACCCAGAGGGTCCATGTGCACCACTATGATGGAATCAGGTCCCCAAAACCATAATAAGGATGGTCTCTTGGGGCTCACCATAACAAACCCTAACCCTATACATCCCGACACCTTATACGCCAAAACCTACTACGTAGGCCCTAAACCACGACAACCCTAGAGCCCACGTCCTAGCCCAGAGGGTCCATACCCAAAACCATACTAAGGTTGCTCTTTTCGGACCTACGTAAAGCCATAATGGAAGTATATATGGGTAGTTCTCGAAATTAAGGTCCCTTTTATACGGCACCCTTATAATAAGGGCCCAATTAGAAAACTACCCATATGGACCCTCTGGGTAAGCCCTAAACCCTAAACCCTAAACCCTAAACCCTAAACCCCTAAACCCTAAACCGAGGTTGCGTTTGCCCAGCGACTCGAGGAAACACCTCTTCGCCCGGCAGGGCAGCCTGAGCTCCCCCTTCGTCCCCTGGGCTGCCTCAGGAGGGTTTAGGGCTGAGGGTTTGGGGTTAGGGTTTAGGGTTTAGGGATTACGGGTTTAGGGTTTAGGGTTTTTTTGACAATATAATAGGGGGAGTTGAAACTGGGGATTAGAGGTTAAGGTTTAGGGTAGGGTTCTTTCTTAGATAATATTATAGACGGGGGCGTTACACTTGGAATTACTAGTAGGGTTTAGGTTTCAGGGTAGGGTTCTTCCTTAGCTAAAAATAAAGGGGGGCATCATAATTGGGATTAGGGTTTAGGGGGTAGAGTTAGTTCTGTGGTATATTGTATCGGAACGTATACATCCGCATGCCTAGGGGCTGGAGAGGGACAATTACTATTCCTAATTCTTCCCGCCGCATCCCCTTATACTTGGTTCTCCGTAGGATTCAATTCCTATTGTCGTATAAACTGACCGTGGTATAGCGCTAAGCCCGAAACCCTAAACCCGTGGTATTATGAATAGTTTAGTGGAGGTCCCAATGGGCTGACACTGCACTTGACTTAGCAATGACACCTCTACTTCCTGCAACACTATTTACTGTATGCAAGATACGGGCAAACTTTATGTTAAGAAAACTACGTTGCTGTTTCTGGTGTACATTTCTTAATTGCACTCCCGATCATGGTGCCCTGGCCCAACTCCTGCCACTGCTGCCCTGCTGCTGTGCTGCTGCCACCCCCTGCTGCTGCCCCTGTTGCTGCCCCTGCTGCTGCCCCTGCTGCTGCCCCTCTTGCTGCCCCTGCTCCTGTGCCCCTGCTGGTGTTTCTGCTGCTGCCCCTGCTTGCTCCTGCTGCTGCCACTGCCCTGCTTCTGCCCTGACCAGTT